TTTTTTTTTTTTTTTTTTTTTTTTTTTTTTTTTTTTCGTTTGATTTCTTTTAATTTCTTTCTCTTTCTCCTGCCCGCAGAACTAAATTTTACGAGACGGGATGACGTTCCTTTTCTTTCTTTCTTTCTTTCTTGCAATACGGATGATAAAGAAGAAAAAAGAAAAGAAACGAAAAGACCAAAGAGATGTTTATTTTAATGTTGTGTATATTAATTGTTTATGTCGTATAATATTTGACGATGCATTTATCCATGCGTTACACCGAGTGCTTTAATTATTCTTTCTCCTCTTTTCTTTTTTTTTTTTTCAATTATTATTATTAAGCATAAGTATATATTCTTATATATGTATATTGGAATATGATTTTTTTTTTTTTTTAAATAAATATCTCATCGTCTATTATCATAATCATCGCGATCGATCGGCGCAATATTTTATATTTGTAAGGTGTATATTTTGTTTACACATGGAGTTCATCCATCAGGCATCATTATAACAACAACGATTTTTATTATTACAATTATTTATAGTTGATTGATTTACACATTAATTATTAAGCAGCCAGTGCCGTTTATTTTATATTTTTTTCATAGAATGTAATGTGTATCACTGCTGTTATCATATTTTATTAAATCTTTGCCATATAACACTCCCTTAGTCTCACGATTTCACCCTTCATTATCAATATGAGACGATTTTTCTTCTTGTCTCATCGCAATTCTTCTCCCGCTGCAATCTATCCCCTTTTCACCTCCTTTTCTTCATAACTCTATATACCATGATCGTAATAAAGTCGATCCTTGAGATATATATATATATATATATCGAGCTAACATATTGAGTTTTTTCTTATTACATTTCTATCGTATTACATTTGCTTTAATTTTTTCGCAAAGAATTAATCAAAAACAAAAATGAGCGGAAAAATAAAGACGGAATATTTACAGAGATAATATCGAAGAAATGAAAAATTTTTCCGATACACAAAAAAAAAAAAAAAAAAAGAAATACTCCCAGATACACCGACGAATCGCATACGTTTCTTTCGACCGCCGAGTGCGTGCAATATCGAGTGATTTCATGTTTCTCACACGTCTTAAAGCAGCATACATCGAGACATATTGTTGCTTTGCAAACCTTATAAATGCACTTGAGCACGCATATCCTCTCGCGAGCGCCGTCTTTCGTACTCTTTTGCTCCCCTCGTGCGGAAACAAGAGCGAACAACGCCTCACGCTTTGTTCGCCAATCCTCTGGGTATAATAAGGAGTATTTCGCGTCACGCAAACCCGGGGTGTTCTCTTCATTTTCCTGATTCTCTCAGAGATGTAACTTCTTCTTCTTCTATCTATAGCGTGATGACAATTGATTTCTCGATATAGCGTTATAATTCTATAACGAAGTACGCAGGTTCTGGACCTTGCAGCCACCCTATACACGAAATTTAGAAATTCGACTATTTAGAAATAAATCGTGTTCCGCTCGAGAATCGCTGCAAGATCCGGAATCATCGCTTCCTCTGTTACTTCCTTACATTAAATGTCGGTGACTTTTGTCCTAGCCGGAGGGACCGACTTCGGGCAAAAATCAACTGTCTGTTCACGTCGAGGGAAATAATAAAATAGATTATTTCACATAGCACACAGTTTAATAAACTGTAAACGAAAGCAATGAAAGAAAATAATGCTATTTTTATATGTTGCATCGTCTGCCGTGGTGACCTAGAGTTATACGAACTATATTTGAGTTCACTCCTTTACTGATTCCGTGTATCAATTGGGCCATTTCGTGTCATACTTCTGGGCCATTTCTGTTTCCGTTTCAATTTTTCAACGCGATAGATCGTAGATATTATGTATCGTGTTCGGATATTTACCGAAGAAATCGCAAAATTTCTTTTTCAGTCATGATCATGATTTCGTCGATGATATTTTGTTATATTTTGTAAATGAAATTAATAGAGTATCGTTTGAATAATGTCGTTAGAAATTGTGAGAAGCATTCTCATATAATTTGATGAAGAATGTCCCTATAATATTAATATCATCACATTAGCAGCTTAGAAATAAATGACAGAAATATTTCTAAAGATGATCCAAAGGATGCTCTTGCTCACAATTGATCTAGATTACTACATTAAGATTTACTATTATTGTATTATTATTACTATATCTACATTCCTTTTAAAAATCTACCACTATTACTTTACAAAACCATCTGTAAATAAGTATTTTGTATTCCTGCAAGAATAAAATTACGAATCATTAATCGTGTATGTAATATTTTTACCATTATCATTAGAATCATGATAGTTTCAGACATAAATATGGATTATGAATACACGTTATGTCTCGTAAAAAATTTTTATTCTTGAATATAGAAAAATTTTGTGTGCCACTGTTTCTCGTTATATACAATACAAAATCCTAATACAAAATCAAAATTTCTGATAGTAAAAAAAAAAAAAAAATAGATTCGATAAATAAATCTTTAATAATGTCGTTTTTAAATTTAGAATGTTTTAAAATTCCTTCCTACTCCCTTTACAAGGTTTTAAATTTCACCGCTATCGTCAAGAGGTGCCTCGACTCAAAACATTCACGTTAGATATCAGGGCATACTATATTTTGTAAGATCGTCATCCTAAAGATATAATATAAAATCGAGAATGTAACATCTATATTTTTTACATTAATGATTAAGACACATTGTAGCTTTAAAAGAAAAATAATGAAAATATATTCTATTGTTCTACATCACATTTATGATTATGCGCTAAGAGGAAGAAAATAGAAACAAAAAGAAACAATAGAACAAATAGAAAAAAGACAGAGATAAGATAAAAATTCAGGAATCAGCACCATCTTTTGAGTATTTTTGAAGGGATATCTTTAGAATTCAAAAGATGGCGCAGACTATCGATTCTTATCCTATCTTTCTCTTTAACTATTTTCTGATCTTGTATATATTTAATAATATAATACTCTTATATTTAGTTTAGTCATAGTTTTTAAAATTTAGTAAAATTAAGTTTTAAGTTTCCAATCATTATTAATGTTATAATTATTTTCTATACGATATGTCTTATTATATAACGCTTACAATAGAAATATTCATATTTTAAATAATACTTGAAATTTAAATTCATTAAAATTACTATTTAAGTATTCATAAAATAGGCAATTTAAAGATTTTTTTTTAGCTTCTAATTTATTATTTTTTTTTATTTTCACAAAATTTCACATTGGATATAACATATATTTTATTTTTAGTTATATAAAGAATTACATATGAAAATTAATTTAAAATAATCGTTATTTTCTAACTTCTAATCAATATTTATAATATGTAATGATATCATTCACGATTTTAATATTGACAACAAATAAAAATAAACTAGCTATCCAAATATACGTAAAAGTATTCAATCCTTTGAATTCCAATAAATAAGCAGCTAATAACCAAACGCTTTGACTAAAGATCCACATAAAACATAGAAATAGTGATCTATGAATGTTTAATCCAAACCGTGAAAGACATAATGGCAATAAAGATAAATACCAAAAAAAGTATTGTGATGTTAATACCGGATTATATGTTACTATTATCATGGCCTGTGTAAACATTACAAATGGCAATAAAGATTTATTTGAATATTTATATGATAATAATAAGAGCAATATCAATTGCGGTAAAAACATGAAAATTTTTTCAATTATACTAGGAGGATAATTAGCAGATAAATATAACATGTAAAAATAAACAGAAAAATTATGTTTAGTATCTTTGCGTGTAATATGGTAAATAAAACTTTCGTAAATATATTTATAACCATAGAAATAGTAATTAATAATTGTTAAACAAATAATCAAGGATATACAACTAATTACTAATTTTAACTGATTTTTGTTTGGTATAAAGTAATTTTTATCTTGAAGGGAAAAATATATAGGTATACTAAATATTATAGGATATAATCTAAAATGGATTGATAAGGCATGACATAAACCTGCTAAAACGAATTTATCTTTCAAAAATAAATATAAAGTTAGCATAATTAAAAAAACTGTCACAGTATCCGCATTTCCTCTGGTTGAAATTACGATCGTGAAAGGATTATAGAGCCATATAAAAGTACATATATCTTGCTTATTACAATTTTGTAAAATTAAGATTTTTTTTATCAAAATGGTTACGAAAATATCAACAAAAGAAAATAAGATTTTTCCAAAATTTTCATTTATGAAAATATTTGGCGTTAAAAGCAAAGCCAATAATGGTGTATAACGATATGTATCTCGCTCAAATGGAGATGATCCTTCTATTATATATCGTGCAGCATCTGTAAATACCTTATAATCCACATCAGTGTACGGAACACTGAAAGTTTTATCATGATAATTTGAATAAAAAACTAAAGTGATTCTAAATAAGAAACCTAATATACAATGTGTCTTAAATGATAATTCATTCATTTTGAAATTTTAAATATATCTTTTAACATTAAATAAAATTCTATTTATTTTTATAATCTTATATTATTTTTTGCAGCAGCTTTCATTAAACATGCCTTAAATTCCTTAAACTCACTTTCACAATCATCTTTTTGTAAGTTGGATTTTGCCAATACACATGCAGCATATTTAACTCCAGATTCATGGCATTGTGCAACAATAATAGGATACTTTCTAAATCGTTCTTTTGCCTTTTTTACTGCTTCCATCTTTAACTACATATTATTATATTATTTACTACATATCAATATATATATATATATATGTATATATATTAAATGTATAAATTTACTATATATAAAACATTACTTGTTAAAATGTTAAATTAAATTTACTTTGATTTCTTTTTTGGAAGTTTCGGTACTTGTGAAGTTTGATATAAGGTCCATAGAACTAGACCTACTGCAAAACCATTAACACCTTTGATTATGTTACTTTTTAATTTTTCGTTCATCATGATGAATCCTATTTCTGGGCTTTTCTCTGAAATAAAATCAAATAAATCAAATAAATCAATA